TATCATGTCGCCTCTTGCTCACTTTTCTCACCCGGACATAACAACCTTTCTTCATAGGGGAGTTGCGCCATCGCCTTGATAATTTTGGTGGCCCTTTCCTAAGCCTTTTCCAACTCTGCAAAACCCTCTTTGAGGTGAGGCTACCAGAACTGTCTTGAGACACTTGAGACACACTTTTCTTTGTAGCTGTTAGCTCCTCTGCATCACTAGCTGTCCTTCCTGCCCAATAACACCCTTTTGCTTTTTCTTCCCGTTCCATCCCAGATATTATTTCCTAAGATTAAAGTTGAAGGGAAGCGTGTCCATGCATCCAACTTCATTTGATTTCTTTTCAGTTTACCTCTCTGCTCTTTTCTCCTCCCCCCACCTCCTCGTCCCCCCCCCCCAGCCCAGCCAGCCAGTCCCATAATGCACTGGGCGTCTGGTCGGCCCGGATCACACTCTTTCTCAGCGCAAATGACCCTTTTCTCCTCTTGAGTTTGTGAGCTTGAGGGGGTTTTGTATCTTTTTTCCTTTTCTAAAATAACACTGAATTTGTAATGATCTGTTCCCAGAAAACACACACACACACACATACATACATTAATGGGAAGTGTTAAATAGTGGGTAGACATAGCAGACGACGCAGCGATTTCTCCAAAGCAGCTCTTTATTTGTAAGCTGGAACAGAACTGAACAGCAAACAGCTGCCTATAAAAGCAGGCCGGCTGTCAACATTGTAGCAACAACAACCCAGGGTTTCCCACCTAAAGTAACTAATGTGGACCTGAGTGAAAATATATAAACGATACTCCTGGTGTCCAGGGTGAGAACTTCAATACATAACAGGAAGAGATCCTTTTCTCTTCCCAGTGTATCTCCTCAGCATCTGGTGGCTACAGAATCACTTCCTCTACCTTCCCCTGTCCATTCTTCACCATGCGAGTGGTCCCATATCTCCAGAACCTCCTTGATTGAGGCGGAAATATTTGCGACGTGTTTTGGAGGAGCGAGGGGGCTTCTATGGTCCTCATTGCACATCTCAAATAGCGCTTTCATCAATGGGGGTAGGGCAGAGAAAACAGGGGTCCCCTAGGCTGAACAGGAGGTTGAAGAAGGTTCCCTCAAGCCCTTTGAAACAGATTTTGTGGTCTACGTTTTCTCACATGGCATTGCAAGAGGTGACCATGTAGATATGGCTCTGATATAGGAGGTGGAGGGCAGGGATTATAGATAAGGACTGAGCAGGTGAGGCCAAGTTTTGTTTTTGGATTGTGGGGGGGGGGAACATACTCCATGTCTGGAATGGGAAAGGGGCTGAACGTGTGGTCTGAGAGAAATTGAGAAGAGGGCATTGAGGTTTTTGTTCACTGCTATTGTAAGTTTACCCTAATGCTCTTATTAAGATGTCACAACTAGCTTCTTCTACCCTATTTTGGAGGCTTATTCCCCCCCCCCAAAACCTCTCTTTCTTCTCACCACCTAAATGATATCTCCTGTCCTATAGAAATTTGCCTGCTGGCTGCAGTCCTGAACAGCAGCACCAACTCAGACTGTGTGTGTGTGTGCGCGCGCGCATACACACATTACTCTGGAGGTGTGAGGCAACACAAAGTCTGGAGTCTTCTAAGCCGTCTTTTCTTATGCATTGGAGCTGAAAGGGGCTGGCATCTCATCCTCTCACCTCTGACCTTTGTTTTGTATCTTTGCATGTTCCCCGGGCTATAAAAGGAAGAGGAGAGCTAGGGGGTCTCTGACAATGATGGAAAAGGAGGTACTAATGGAGTGAACCTAGGGGGTGGAAAACTGGATGAAAGAAACAGGAGTGGTGTGGGTGGGATATAACAAGGGGCAAATGGGTAGAGATGAATGAAAAAGGATGGGGAGGATGGGAAGGCAGAGCAAACACACACAAAAAGCCTCACTGGCTGACTGCTAAGATGCGCTTCAGGGTTGCTTACCAGCCTGCCTGTACAAAAGCTAATGCTACTCTAGGCTGCATCAACAGAAGCATAATGCCCTGATCAAGAGAAGCAATGTTGTTTTTGGCATCTGTCTGTCTTGAGAAACAATTGAGTGTGCAGGGAGGGGGGTGAAATCAAACTGCTGTGTCAGCAGCAGCCAACCACAGGCTACTGAAAGAGTTAGGAAGGTGTTGAATGCAGAGAGAAGCCAGAATGAGGGGTGGAGTCAGTCAGTGATAGGTATAGGGGGCATAGTGGAAGGGAGAGGGAAGAAGCTGAAAGAGAACAGGAAGCAGGTGAGTGAGAAAGCGAGGTGCCCCAGGCCATGTGAAGGGGGTTGACATGGTGGGTGATGCAGCAGTTCAAGGATGGAGGCAGAGACTGCAGGGACATTGACTGCTGCCCTGGCATCCTGAATAGGAAGCCCACTGGGACACATGGCAACACATCCAGTTTCAAATATCTAAAGGTCTTCCGATGCAGTTCAGTACCTTGAGAGACAAAGAGTTTGGAGGGAGAGGATGAAGTGGACCTGCCCCAAGTCTGCAGGGTTTTCCTCTTGTGCAATAAATCCATACTGTGTTAGAGTCCCCAAAACTTCATACTGTCCTCTTCATTGTGGGACATTATCAATAACAAACCCTACGATGTCAAAACCAAGGCATGACCAGTCCAAGTACAACTGGTATTTTAAAATAATAACTAAAATTCTTGAACCCCTGCATTCTACATTGTCTAAGGCAGAGGTTGGCAAGGTTTACCTCGCCTGGGCCGGTTCACTCCAGCAGAGATCCCTCCGTGGGCCGGATGGCGTGTGTGCGTGAGTGCGCCCGCCCGTGATTTCCAGCTGTGAGTTCCCATGCTGTGCCGGTTTAGCGCATCGGGCGGCTCAGTTCAGGGGCAGCTCGTGGGCCGGTTAAACGACCCCCATGGGCCGCTCGTGGCCCATGGGCCTTAGGTTGCCAACCCCTGGTCCAAGGCCATGGTGTCAGCTTCTTCACGGAGCTGTGGCATGGAAGTGCTAATTGGCAGAAATCCTCAATACATCTCAAAATATATCGTAATGAATGATGGAAGACAAAAAAAATACAACTTCCCCTCCTGACACTCGTATCTAGAATCTTTGCCAGCCCCCATGTTGGATATTCAACCTGATATGGCACACAGTCGTGTCACATGAATGATGGGATGTGGCCTGCCAGGGGTGGTGAGCTCTGACCTTCCTCAAAATAGTGTTTCTATTTCTTTCCGCTGCTTGGCATTACAGTTTTCCATCAGGTGTTGCTGGAAAGGCAGCAAGCTTTTGAAAAACTGCCGTCACTCTTCACACTCCATATCAAGTTTTGCTTGTCCAACAGCTGTAGAAAAGAACCTACCCCTCTCTCTCTCTCTTTCTCTCTCTCTCTCTCTCTCTCTGTATGTGTGTAACTTTTAAAGCAACATCCTGGTTTTCTCTTGCTTTAGGGTGAAAATACGGTAATTTTGTTTGTTCATTTAAAAAAACACAACCTGAATTCTGAACAGAATGAAAAAGGAAACATCCTTAGCCCAGATAAAATGTGTAAATATGGTGTATCCACAAGTAAAAATAGCAAAATATTAATGCAACAGAATGTGTTGGTGCCAACTAGATACCTGTTCAGGCAATGGCAGCCAGAGATTATTCTGTATCACATATAGATAGGCCTCCTGTGATGCTAGCTCAGATAGGCCAGTCACTGCCAGATGTTTTACTGCTACCATCCCCACCACAAAATGTCTTACCACATAACGATGAAGATGTCATGCAGACAGCTGCACAGTGATAGCACACAGCCAAGAATACATGGAATGTACATCCAGATATTTTGATTTTTGGGGATCTAGCAGGTGGCAACACGAGAACTGGCCTTTTCAGTGGTGGCTCCCCAATTGTGGAATGCTTTCCCCATGGAGGCTCACCTGGCGCCACCATTACATATTTCTAGGAGCCAGGCAAAAACATTCCTTTTTCACCTGGCCATTCGCTTTTAAATATCTGTGGTGTTTTTGAGTGGGTGGGATGTTTTAATCTAGTTTTGACAAAAAAAGAATTGTCTTTTAGATGGTTCTATATTTTTAATGCTGGTTTTAATGTATGTATTTGTTTTTTGCTTAAACTATTGTTAAGTTGCTTTGAGTTGTCATGGCAAAAAGCAACTAATAAGTTAAATGGGCACACTCTGTTGTCTCTCAAGACAGATGGATGCCAACAGCAAATAAACAGTGCTCAGAACCCACTACGGAAATTCAGTGGTGCAACAGGTGCAACTGTAAAAATTACATACACAGTGATACCTCGGGTTAAGTACTTAATTCGTTCTGGAGGTCCGTTCTTAACCTGAAACTGTACTTAACCTGAAGCACCACTTTAGCTAATGGGGCCTCCTGCTGTTGCCGCGCCGCCAGAGCACGATTTCTGTTCTCAACCTGAAGCAAAGTTCTTAACCTGAAGCACTATTTCTGGGTTAGCAGAGTCTGTAACCTGAAGCGTATGTAACGTGAAGCGTATGTAACCCGAGGTACCACTGTAGTTGTAAATTTGGGAGGTTTATCTGGATGGAAGGCCCATAATTATTGGTTGTAAAACAGGTTTGGTCAGGAGAAGGTTAATGGTACCAGGAGTTCATCTGGAGATTATCTTGATGGCTGTGGCATCTTGATGGTGGTCAAGTACCCTCCTTTGTTAAGGAGATATTTCTTAATGGATGGGCTATTTTGGAAGGAGAGAGACAGTTGAGAGTTGGGGCTTTGCCTCCCCACCCCCCACAGCAGTGCTGGAAAAGATCCAGAGGCCTGACTTGCTCTTGCTAATTCATTGGGGATTCCCTTAGCAATCTGATGGGAGCAGTATGTGCTGAAGTTAATGCTGTGAACCTGTATATATGTAGAAGCAAAATCTTAAATGACATAAACAAAACCTGTCTCCAGTGATGATTCCAAGGAAACCAACCCTGAAACCTCTTGGCCCTAGGAGGCTGGGCCACGCTTGACAACGTAATCTGACCTTTTGTTTGTATCTGTTTTACCCCACACTCAGACCCCACCTGGCTTCCTAAGGGGCAAAAGTACATGTTGTTTCTCTTAGTTGACCTTTGTTTCATATTTGCCCTATATTCTAAAGCAGGATATGCCACTGCCTCAATTCCACAGGCAAGGGGCTATAAATATACAGCCAAATCTTGTGTTAGATTTTTTTGAAGAGAGAGCGAGCAGTGGACTTACAGACTGTAGATTCCCTACGGCATCTTCTGGAAGGAGAAGGGCCTTTGACTTCTGCTGGTGCCATGTAAGATATATCCTACTGCCGGGCATTTCCTGTGTTTATTCCTTGATTGTACTCCTGTTGTTTTATAAATCAACCCAAATGTTTATTTCATTAAATTGGCATAATCTGAGGAGGGGCTCTTATTTCACCCCATGTTCTACTGCTGTACAATTAATAGCTCATAATTCCTGAAATATTACATCTCTGGGAAAGCCTTCTTGAACAAAAGCATTTTCAGTGAGCACATGAACATCACAGTGCTGGGTGCCTGTCTAATTTCAGCTGGCAACTGGTTCCAGAGGGTTGGAGCTGCAACACTAAATGTCTGATTTCTAGTCCAAACTAAGCCCACCTCTGGGTCATGCCATGTGGTCAGCAGTGCCCCAACGGAGGAAGGCAGTTGCTGGGCAGCGATATATGGGTGAGGCAGTTCCTTAGCTAATTACTGAGGACCCCCTATTTTTCAAAGGCCAAGCCATGGACCCTCAACTTTTGAAAATTTTGATAACTATGATAGTTACCTCTGCAAAGCAATGTTGAGGTAGCCCCTAATAAGCAAAGGATTTTAGGTACCGTATACTAAAAAAACAGGCTAGGGCTGGTTTTCAACATCCTGATAAATCAGCAGCTAAACAGCATGATATTTTGATATATCACAATGTCTGAAATTGGAGATCAGGCATGGAGATGAGGGAAGAAGCAGCCATAGAGATCAGATGGGGGTGGGGAGAGGAAGCGGAGTCACCTCCACCTCATGTTTTGAGTGGGAGGGGAGAGGGATTGGGGGCTGGCAGCCAGAGAAGATGCAGTCCACTGTGTCTGCTGCTGCTTTCCTGCTGACTAAGAAGAGCTGTTCCGCCCTGAAGTGAGGGTGATCAGCTTTTATCCATCAGTGTGAGGGGAAGGCAGCACCTCACAATCGGCTGCCCAGCTTTTCCTCACGCAAGGAGCGATGTATTGCTGCATGTTGCTCTGTCAAAATCGTTACCACGTTGTGATTCAAAACCGATTTTGGCCAATATATTGAAAAATTGCACAGAAGTAAAACAGACCATAAAATTGTGATATCACCATGCAAAAATGATAAAAAAATAGGGGGGGGCCAGGCAAGGGAACCACGGCCTTAGGTGACTGTCTGGTGCAAAGAGTCAGAACGGTCTCTGAAGTTTTCAAGTCCGTGGCTTCAGTAAATGAGCTGACCCAGAATGTTGGAAGAGAAGCTGCAGAAAGAAATTGAGACATTTTTAAGGGAAAATTGTGGAACAACATTCCCTGCTACCTGGCCAATTTGCTGACTTTTATTGCAGATAATATAATAAAGATGTTATTAAAAGTACAGTAATAAAGAGAGAAATAGTTATAAATAAGAATATAATAAATAATAATAATACTTTACTTAATAATCATGGAAAGATATGTCCATAAATGGGCATGTTCTCCTATGGACAGAGAGCCACAGAAATAAAACAGACAGATGACTCAAGAGACCCAGAGGTGTGCTTCACCTCATATGTTTTCACACGCAAGGTTTCCGAAACAGAATCTCAATCGCAAATGGCATATTTAAATTATGGATTGCAGTGTGCCTGTCAGAGGACACAAATTGCGCACCTTCTGCCGTGACTCTTGCAGCGAAGGCATGCATGTGACTTGGCCTGCCCTGCCTCTCTTTGCACTGGCATCCGCAAAAGGGTACAGGCAGGGTCTGATGACACAGCCACACATTTAAAGGGAAAGCGGGCGATCCGGGAAGGATTAACAACAGAGCAGAAGCCACCGCAGGGGAAGTGGATGGTGGCTTTGTAAGGGGAAAAGATGCATATTCAGGAAAATGCATAAGACTGCCATCTTAAAGGGTTTGGTTTATATCTGCAAGAAAAGAAAGGCAATTGAAATGTGGGCATGCCTCAGGTTTGGTGTGCCGGGAGAAGCGTGAGTATCCCTCTAAACTGATGCCATGCACACGCTCCAACCATCTCAGGATGATGACAGGCACAGGAGGAGCCGTCATCTGCAGCCAAGAGATAGAAAGAAAAAATAGATTCTAGGGCCCGCCCTAGCCAGATTCCCTTCTCACCCAGCAGCAGGCAAAATTCCCATGTAACAGAGGCAATCCTGCCACCAGCTGCCTCTGCCAGCCTATTTAGGGCATCATTAAGGCTGCTCAAGTGTGATCAGACTTCTCCGGGAAATGTTTATGTGCAAATGTCACCTATTGTGCTCTTCTGCAGTTCCTGTTCCTTTCAAAGAGCCTCATGCAAGGGGACTCCCTAAGGATTGGGCCCCATATAAATTAGTGCATTGGGTGCAGTTTGGATTTCTCACCTCCCATCAGACTCCACAATCTCTTGGAACAACCCTTCCTGATAATGTCAAAATGTTTTGTTCTGATTATATTTTCTGTTTGAAGTTTTTTCCTGGCAATTTTGAAAAACTCAGCCTTAATGCCAGACAAGAAGCAGCTGTAGATTCAGACCAGGTATTATGAGTGCACATACACCAAACGAGCCATCATGCATGGGACCAGGCAACTCCACAGCACAGACTCTTGGTTCAGCTCCAGTGCAGTCACCCACAGTGTAATTTATTGTTCACAAAATCATAACACACTTTCTGAATCAAGAGATGCTTGAAGAAGACCATCTGCAATTCTCAGTCAGCACTGAGCAACTGCTAGCAGAGAATGCAAATTAAAATTGATTTTCAATATGTGGTTATTGTACTAATCAGTTAATGTGCTATTGCTTTCTAATGAGAAATGGTCTGGTATCAGAAGACCACCTTACAGTGAATCAGATCAGGCCAGTAGTCCATTCAGTTGAGGGTCATCATTTTGAGCCAAACCCTGTTCTGACAAGGCTCGTAAGCAGCCTTTACCATGTCACAGGTACCCCCTGAGCATGTGCAGAGTGTGCACATGTCCCTTGGAGAGACAACTTTACCAGATGTACACATCCCCAGAGGTTGGCCAAGACTGGTCAGTACAAATGGCAATGCTGTTTGTCTTCATGACAACATTTACAGGTAGCAGAAGTAGTGCAAGAAAGATTTAATAGTGCCCTAAGTGAAAATGGACTTTCCAGATGTCTGGTTTTGGTTTCACATGGGTAAGAAGCATGGGAAGGGAGACAAGAAGGAGGCATATATAAGGGATCCTGAGGGTCATCTAGTCCAACCCCTTGCAATGGAGGAATCGCAGCTAAAGCATCCATGACAGTTGGCCACCCAACCTCTGCTTAAAGACCTCCAAGGAAGGAGAGCCTACCACCTCACAATGAGTTTGTTCCACTGTTGAACAACTGTTACCATCAGAAAGTTCTTCCTGATGTTTAGTCGGAATTTCCTTCTTGTAATTTGAAGCCATGGGTTCGGGCCAAACCTTCCAGAGCAGGAGAAAACAAGCTTGCTTCATCTTCCATGTGACAGTCCTTGATATATTTGAAGATGGCTATCATATCTCCTCTCTGTCTCCCCTTCTCCATGCTAAACATACCCAGCTCCCTCAACCGTTCCTCATAAGGCTTCCTTTCCAGACCCTTGGTCAACGTTCCAGCGTGTCAATTTCCTTCTTAAATTGTGGTGCCCAGAACATCAAGTGTGGCCTGACCAAGGCAGAATAAAGCAGGACTATACTATTACTCCATATGCAAAGTACCAAGCCTTTATAATGCATTTCATTTCAGTTGGCATGGAATATCCTTTGACCTCCATTCATGGAAGCTGCCCATTAAAAAAAAAAAGAACTGTGCGTATGCAAATTTGTGGCCTTGCAAATGAGCCTTCCACCTTTTCCCTCATCCATTCTCAAGATGGCAATTAATGCTGGGACATTTCCTTCAGGGTGACCTAGTTTTAATTATCTCTGCATTGCTTCCGGATTATCTTCCTGGAGCTTTTTTCTAGTGGGAGTAGGTTGAATCAAAACATACCATTTGGGACAGGCAATATAAAATCCTGATGTTTACCAATCTATAGGTTATTTCCCCCCAAATGCCAGCATAGATAAGTGTCATTAACTTTATCCATATCCAATTTCCATCTGTGGCATTTAGAGGGAAAGGAGAAACTACCTCTTTCCCATGACTCTCGTTGATGTCATCAGTTTAATGGAAATTCCTGCGTGGCCCTCCCTTAATCTCAGCTCCACAGCTGTTGCAAACCACACTGAATTTTCCTCCAGGAACAGAAGGTGTCTGTGTTGCTGGGTTTTCACGGGTGGCCCAAGACTCTTGCACTGGAGTGGTTGTTCTTTTTGGAGGAGGGTGTGGTTGCTATTGGTTTCTTTAAATATTTATTTTAGGTCTTCTTGTGATTTATGTGCAAATTGTTCAGTTTGCTTGTGTGTTAATGTTTGATTTATTGCTTATGACTACTTTTGCTATAAGGGATGCAGGTGGTGCTGTGGTCTAAACCACTGAGCTTAGGGCTTGCCGATCAGAAGGTCAGCAGTTTGAATCCCCACAATGGGGTGAGCTCCCATTGCTCGGTCCCTGCTCCTGCCAACCTAGCAGTTTGAAAGCACGTCAAAGTGCAAGTAGATAAATAGGTACCGCTCCGGTGGGAAGGTAAATGTGTTTCTGTGCGCTGCTCTGGTTTCACCAGAAGCAGTTTTGTCATGCTGGCCACATGACCCGGAAAAACTGTCTGTGGACAAACGTCGGCTCCCTCAGTCAGTAAAGCGAGATGAGTACCGTAACCCCAGAGTCGTTCTCGACTGGACTTAACTGTCAGGGGTCCTCCAGCCCATTCTTGTAGGCACCAGGGGTGAGCAGCAAACTTCAGGCTCATGGGTCCTGCTCCTGCTCTTGGTTTATTAGGATGCCAGTGAATGTCATAGTCCAGCAATCAGAGTGTGAAACGGTGTCAGGGGAAGGGCAACATGTGCCTAGAATTAAGGAACAAGGTGCTTCTTAGCATTTGCTCAGCCCAGGGCTGTGTTTTTATCACCAGATCTAAACTTACAGTCCAGTCCCAGACAAAACTCCACTCCTGGTTTTCCCAATAAACTTTCTTCATCTCAAAACACACACACACACACAAAACCTGTCAGGGGTCCTTTACCTTTTTTTTTTACTTTTGCTATGTTGTAGTTATGGGTTTTCTTCCATGTTGTAAGCTGCCTTGAGCATGGTTTTAACAGTGGAAAGGCAGCATACAAATAAATTTATGTGTGCATGTATGTATGCATGTTGCTGTCTGAGGCAGAATGGTGCCCCCTCCTTGTCAAGTTGCAAAATACCCCCAAAGATGCACGGAACTGGCTCTAAGAGGAGATTTTGCATTTAAGACATGGGCCTCCCAGAGAGAGAACATTAAATTGTGCAACAAGGAATTCTTGTGCTCATGGAACATTCTGGGTACCATTACTGTTGAATAAAAGCTGTAGGGTCCGTCCCCCCCCCGCCCGCCCGCCCGCCCAGATCTCTCTTTCTGGCCAAGTATTGTGAGGTTTGTGCTGTAAATATTAAAACAAAAACTAGGAGAGATCAGCTGACATGAGAGCCTTTTACTCCATTATTGTGCTTTGAAAATGTATCAACAGACTTGCAAATAACTCTACACAATTAAACAGTAAATTTTATGCTTGCCTCTGGAAGGCGCCCAGCTTTGATAGTTTATTTAAACAAAGAAATCTGCTCTCTTTGCCCAACTCTGTGAGAATAAAAAGCCCTCTGGCAAGCACCTTTTCTTTTGGTGTGCAAACAGCCTCCAGCAGAAAGAGGGAAAAGAAGTATTTTCTCAGGAGATAATATGATAGCAGGGCTCAGAAAGGAATGGGGACAGGGATGGAAGGCCAGCAAATGCCCTGAGGTCTGGTCCTGGGGGTTCCCTCTGCGTGAGAATGTCTTTTATATCCTTTAAGTCTATGTACATATGCACTGTCTCCTATACGCAAACATTCTGCACTCTCTCGCTTGGTCATTACTATATCTCGTGTTAGACCTTGTGCACGTGATATGTGCATGTAATGGTTACCTTGCTGAACATTAGCAAGTAGCAGGTTGGAACAGACAGCCAATTTTTGCTATGGAAGGCAGCATCTAATGTAGCACCACTAGGACCTGTTCACAAAGGAAAGCTTTGCTCTTTCGTGTGCATCTTATTGCATGCAGTGGGGCAATTGTGTCTCCCAAACTCATTCTTTTCCTGTTTCGGGTAGGTGATTGATTCAGGAAACTGATACAGTTGGGTAAATGATGTGGGGTGACAAGAAATGTGCTTTTTCGCACCCCAGACCTTTGTGACAATGGAGTCTGGTGCAAGTGAGAGAAATCACACCCCATTTCCCCCCAGTTGTAACCTATTTTAAGGGGAATGCAATCAGGAAAATGTGAGAGAGGACAAAGTCACCTTGCACCAGAAATCTAGGTATGTCAAGCATCATATTAATGTTGCTAAAATCACCAAAGAGTGCGTTTCATGCTGCTCTCTGGTTGGGCCTGCATAAGGCACCACAGCTGGAAAGATCAGGGGTCTCAAATACTTCCCAACAACAAAAAATTGTATTCACTGATTCTACACTATGTCTTCATTTGTGAATAGCTGCAGATGTTAGCGAAAGAAGGAATATTATGCAGAAAGGGGTTGCGGAGGGGGTGAAGAACAAATGTTGTATGTTGCCAAGTGAGTCTGAGAGCATGAGAATAGGAAGGAAAGAACCAATGGGTTATTTTAGAACTATACCCTAGTGGGCCTTGCAGAGACCTCACTTTTGCACCACGACTTTGCTTCCTGTTAAGATCTGCCTAATCATTCACTACAGTTTCCTCCTCCTTCAAGCTATATTTTCAGTTCTTGCAGTCATTTAAAAACAGAAAGCAAAATGCCACTGTCCATGGTCTCTTCCCACTGGCAGAAGCTCTTGCACTTTCAGCAGCGTCCTCCTAGGCCCCTCCAGTTCTTCAAAAACGCACATTGGTAATTCCAGTCATTTGTAAACTTTTGGGAATCGCTTCCTTCTCCAGGCTTTCCCTCTCTTTCCAGCTGTGTATGAGCCTCTCCATCTTGTCCTGAAATAACCCTGTCATTCCTGCCCTGGCCTACCCATGTACACAACGCTGCTAGCGCCTGTCAATCCCACTACAGCGTAGGCCCTCTTGCTCCAGGCGTCTGCTCCTCCCCCCTTGAGATTTCTGCCAGTGCCTCTCTCAACTGCTTTCTGTAATTTTGGGCCTCCCCTCAGACTTCTCTGCTATTTTTGCTTTTGGAAACTGCAGCTCTGCCGGTCTTCCTCAGCCCTGAACAGGGATGTCCTGCCAGTACTCTCATCTCGACGAGTTTGAGTAAAAGAAATTCAACTATTTTGTCCTTTTTCTCTGTCTGCTGCATTATTAAGCACCTTCCAGCAGCCTCCTTGCTTCCGCTCTCTCTCAGCTGGTGTGGCTTTTGGTGTCAAGAGGCCCAGCAAACTTAGGCAGAAATGCCACCCTGAGTTTCCAAGGGTTGTTTGCAATTTTAAATTGTAACTAAACTATACCCAGAATAGTTTGGATTCAAAGGGTTGCCTAGGGAATTCCTGAGAGATTAAAGTCCTGTGGGTGCTTATTTCCCTGAAGCTCACTGTGTCCTCCTTCCCTGGCCTACCCAACAAGAGACGCAGCTGAGGAACACCCTGGTTTCTGGCCCCAGCAAATTTCCCAGAAGACTGGTTTCAGTGCTACAGGCCCAGCCAGGTTTTGGATTACACGTGGATCTAGTTCACGCAACCAGCAGATCAGGTAGTAAACCACTTTCTGGACTTGCACAGCTTCAGACTGACTACAAGTAAGGGATAAAATTACTAGATACTCCTCTGTAGGTTTGCTGGGAGGAAATACAGTGGTACCTCGGGTTAAGAACTTAATTTGTTCTGGAGGTCCGTTCTTAACCTGAAACTGTTCTTAACCTGGAGCACCACGTTAGCTAATGGGGCCTCCTGCTGCTGCTGCTGTGCCGCTGCTGCACAATTTCTGTTCTCATTCTGAAGCAAAGTTCTTAACCTGAAGCACTCTTTCTTCTGGGTTAGTGGAGTCTGTAACCTGAAGCGTCTGTAACCTGAAACATCTGTAACCCAAGGTACCACTGTACCTACATATAGAAAACTAGATGTCAGAGAGAAAGGTGTCTAGCCTTCTTCCTGACATGCTAGTTTTCTGTGTGTGTGGATTTCTGTGTGCAAGTTGAAGCATTCAGTCATGTGATCCCATGCCCCTACGATCTGAGAAGTAGAAGGGAGAGAATTAGATAACTGTGATCTGTACAATCAAGAAAAGGTCATGGCTTGCCAGTAGAGATTTCTTCATCATCTTAGTATGTGTGTGAAATGATGACCAAGTCAGATACACCACAAGAGATAAGCGTATAGCTTATGGCGTGACTTAAGGGTATTCCTTTCTGGCTTTGTCCCTAGTTGTCCCTGTTTCCATGACAACATTGATCAGGAAAAAGCGGAGCTTGTGGCAAAGATGCTGAATTGGAGCAGCTTCTGAGTTGGAGTGAACAAGGAGGCCTGAAGGACTGAGAAAATGAGACAATAAGGTCACGTCTCCCTCGTAAGCACCCCTCTCTGGCCGCATTTAGGAAGTGCTGCAACAACATAATCTCTCTTTTGCTCTGTGGTTTCCTTTCAGCTTCCTGAGAGCCCATATGTGGAGAAATGTATACAACCCTAAGTACTCAAAACTATGAAGATAAAATTATGCAATTGTCAACACAACCAGTTCTGCAAAATATGTGAGTGTGTGTTTTTTTAAGGATCTGGAATATTGGTTCCAGTTCTCTCAACATCAATACTGAGGCAGGAAGCTATTGTAAATGCTTTAAAAAATGCTAAATTGGACAATTGACACTACCTCAGGTTTTGTGGATCTTTGAAGTGGATCACTGTGGCGCAATCCGTAACAAAAAAAATTTTGTCCTCCCACTGCATGCCTTAGAAGTCAGAGCTGTTCTCAGGAATGTGATTTGGAAAGCTGTTGAATGGGAGGGGAATCATTTTTTTTTACTTTTGAAATTGAGTTTCTGAATGTTTCTGGAGTGTTCAGAAGCAATCAGTCTGCATAGTCTACAATAATTCTATAGTTTATCTAGAACATTATTGAATGCTTTCTCTCAACCAGGTCCAGCTATTAGGGAGATGAAGGAGGCTTCCTCAGGCAGCAGCTTCTGGTCCAGTTAAAGCCCATAATTTGGTTATTGAATGTATTATGATGCCTTTATAGCTGGGCTGGGGATTTTATTCTGAGCTGCATAGGCCGAAATGCCTTAGCCTGCCTCTGCTAGAGATAAGCTCAAACAAAATATTCCTGCATTGAAGAAGGCTGGACTAGATGATCCCTGGGGTTCCTTCCAACTCTACAGTTCTAGGATTCCGTGCCAGAAAGGAGAATACGATATATGAATGATGTAGACTGCAGAATCAAAGCAGCTGCAAATTGGCCGGTTTCATCTCCCCTTAGTTTTAACAATCGTTGATTAATCATCCTTTATCTCTTTTAAGGTGGCCCCAATGCCAAAGGAATGACAAAATTAGGCCTACTAAAATTGCACAAAACGGGGAGCAACCTTTTGAGTTTTCCAGGGGCAAAATAAATAAAAAAATTATTAATGAAAATGGATCCAGGCTAAATCTGAGGCTGGGACCATTTTAATAGTATCAGTTCCGTAATAGCAATTCCTTAGTGCTCAGGAACCGTGGGAACACTGGCCCGGCATAATTGTGGAACGTTTTAATTTCTTCCCGGGTTTTTCTCTTCTGTCTCTGATTCTCTCCCTCTCCTCCCTCCCCTATTTCTTGCCGAAGCCCAAAATGAGAACTCCTAACTATTTCTTGAGCGTTTTCGCATTCCCTGAGAAAGACAAGCGGGCTGCGGGGGAGAAATCCTGGAATGCTCCCTCCTGGCCGACATTTCTGGGCTTTGGGGCGTCTCTGAAACAGAGAAAGGAAAGTCCTCCGCCCGAGGCGCGCACACCGAGATGCAGGGGCGCGTCAGCAGCGCCCCGACGTCGCTCCAGCGGGACCGGACCGGGGCGGGGCCGAAGCTTGAAATAGACCCGCGCCCGGCCGGCCCCGAAGGAGAGCGAGCAGCCAGCGAGGCGGGCGGGCGGGTTCGCGCAGCAGCAGCAGCAGGAAGCGACGTGCAGCGGAGGCGGCGCCGCAGCAGCAGCAGCAGCAGCATCAGCGGCGGGCGAGGCGCGTGGCGGCTGCGCATCCCGGGAGCAGCGGCGCTGCGCCGGCACTTTCTTCTCGGGCGGGCGCGGAGCGGAGGCGCGTGGCGGCATGGAGAGCAAGAAGGTGAGGGCGAGGCCTCGGCGCATCTCTCGGAGGCGAGCGGGGGAAAGGGCCGCCGGGCCCTCGAATGGGAGCTGGGGCTTGGCCGGCTTGGGGATGGAGCGGCCTGGGAAGACGCGCCCAAGACCCGCTCCGTTATCTCCCGGTGCTGAGTGCTCGGCGGCCGTGCTTGGCCGCTTTCCCGCCTGGCGCGGGCCCGGTGAGGACGGGCTTCCAGGCGCGCGCCCGGCGGCACAACTGGCTGCTTCCCTTTAGCGCTCAGTAAAGATGCCTGGCGGAGATGGGCTTTCGACAGAGCATTTGGGATGCGGGCGGGGGCTGCTCCCTGCTGCCCTGATCCCGGAGGGTGCTCTTAGAGAGCGTCTCTGCCAAGGTCATTTAGAGGATGGCAAAGACATGCCCCTCTTGGATGCAACAAGTGGTGCCCCTTGGAAGACTGCTCATTGCCCGAGGGGAGCTTGGACGCCCTTAGTAAAATGTGGAGGCGGAAGAGCAGAGCATGGGGAAGGGAGAGAGCATGCATGTGCCCGGGAGCGCGCCTGCAGTTGGTGTGGGTTCCACCGTGAGGCTGCCAGGCCTCCCCACCCAGGGCTGCCTTCTGGACAGACATTGCAGAGGGCAAATACTGTTAGATAGTAGCAACACAATTATGCTGGATGGACAGCAGAGGAGACGTTTTTGGACAAATGTTTCTCATGGAATTGCCAAGGCCTCTGCTGTCCTATGACTTTGCAGTAAGATAAGGAAGCAGCAGAAACCCCACAGTGAAGTAATCCAGATTGTTGCGTTTAAGGGCTGCCACAGGACACTCTTGAGATGTCAGCCAATTCAGAGGAGTCTACAGGAAAGCAGAGTTGTAGAAGGAGAAAAGTGAGGCTGCCTGAGGGAGCCTGGCCTGTAGGGAGGGGTGGGGGTGCACGTGCACACACTCACGTACATACATGCTATACACGGTTGAACAGAGGACTGGAAGTAGAAGCCTCAGCCCCTTACAATTACTTTGTCTTGTGGCTGGTCTAGGCTGATGTAGTCCTGTGATTCAGTGTGGGCTGGTAGACAGGAAGTCCTTGATTCAAATCAAGCCATGAGACCAGGGAGCTGGCCTTGGGCAAGCTGGGGCTTCCCATCTGCAAGAGAGATGTGGTAATGACACAGCTTACATTTCTAATGGTGATGGTTACAGAAATGGGAAGGGCTTTCAACACTGGAAAAAGTGCCATATCAGTTGCAATAATCATTTGACTGTTTGCTGGGAGATCTTAACCCTTCACAGCCAGCTTTGGGGTATTTACGTACTGTACATGTTTTTGTGTCTCATGTTTCCCTTTGCATTAAAAGAGAGAGGCTACCTAGCCATAAAGGCAGGATATCTGTGTGCCAGGATCCCATCCCTACCAAAATTTGTGGAAAACAGGGTGGGGAGATTTAAAGCACAGAAGCTGTAGACAGGTGGGGCCAGGGTGGTTTTTTGGTTGTTGTTTTTTGGTGGAGATGCTGGGGGGATGAAGTGGGGCAAGGGCGTTGAATCGCTTCGCCACCTTCACTATTTTCTCCAGAGCAAACCTCTCTCCAAAATGGGGGTGCCTGACCCATGACAGATTCAGGAAATCTGTTTTGGGAGCACATGAAGTGATGAGGTGCGCTTGAGGTTTGTTACAATTTGGGATGCAGGTATATTTGGGTGGGATCTACAGGTTTCAGGGGCTCCCACTGGACTGGGCCCACACATTCTGCTGTGCTGTGTCTCACCTAGCGGCACAAAAGTCATGCAGTACCTGCAAGTAGATGGGCACACTTTAAAGGCCTGTGCCCACATATATATACAGATGTGCAGACATGCATCACTGCTGCCCCTCCACAGCATCCAATCTATCTTCTCAGATTTCAGCCCCAGAAAGCCTGGGAGAATTCTCCAGTGCTCTTGTCATGTGGTCTGGATCAGAATCCATGCCGTAATAAAAAACGGTCACAAATAGCAAATCACACATCAAATTAAAACAGCCCTCCGAGGGATTGTGCAAGTTGTAGAAGCTTGACAGTAACAGGGGGGGACAGGGAGGTCATCTTTTTATATCTTTTCCAGTAACTACCCCCCCCCCCAAACTGCCTGGGGCCTTACCTGTGGCAATTCCAATGCATGTGCTGGAGGAAGGGCTAAATTGTCTGATCTGTGGGAGATTAATGTTTTAATTTTCTTCCAATCCTGGATAAGGTAAGGAAGAAAGGTTAACAAATCCTGTGTTGGGCTCCATTAGCCTGCTTTTCTTTGTCCTTCAGCACAAGCATATTCAGGAAATCCTCAAGGAAGAACTTGTGTGTTGTGTGTCTGATTTGATTTTTACCCTTTAAGTGCTTGAATGTTTTCTCCCAGACACAAGCTTCACCAGCTGTTGCCTAGGGAGGGAGTCAGCCATTTTGAGGAGTTAACATTTGCAGACAGCCATCAATTCAACAATTTCCCACAAGTGTCTTTTTATTATTCTTCCTTTAAAAAAAAAAATTGTGGTGACTTAGCAGTGTGTAATGAAGAGCTGAATGAGAAATATAAATGCTCTTGGATTAGAATTTTTCTGTTGGGGTAATGGTTCTCTGTATTTCCTGCACTTTTTTTGTAGTGTCTACAAGTTGCATTATTTCCCAAGCAGAATGGGTAACTTGGAAAGCATTTCTCATTTTTACTCATTGATTTCTAAGAAACCTTGGATTGAGATTGCTGCTTGTTCACATGGGAAGCCAATTGGGAAAATGTGAATTAACTGTTTTCTCTCCTTCCCTTCTATTGCAGAAGATAACGTGCCCGCTTGTCACTGCTGTGCTTGTTGCTGTCATTGGATCTCTCCAGTTTGGGTACAACACGGGAGTCATCAATGCTCCTGCAGCGGTAAGACTATGTGCTGTGGGCTTTTAGGGGCTCCATCACTGTCCTTGCCTTTAGTGACGACCAGGAAGTTGAGGAAGCCATGAAGGGTACAAGAAGCAGAGGGGAAATAAATCAAATCATGGGGCACAGAAATGTAGTAGTCATGGAGACAGGGGAGATGAAACTCAAGAACAATTGACACCTGATGTATCCTTAACTATTGTGCGTATGAGGAAGAAATAAAAATAGGATACAGTCTCTCCGGGAAGGAAGAGTGGTCCGAATCCTCATGCCTAAATTCCACCAGCCACACAGGGATTCCTGGCTTGATATCTGGTAGTCCAGACAAAGAATGTAAAGCATGGGTGTCACAGTGATGGTAGCGCTAAACCTGCAACCAAACCCCATATTTCGAGGTATTTCCGGTTCAAACTCCTCTTTAGCTGTTAACACCTTTCCAGAAAAAGGACTTGTTGTGTGATAAATGTAATGGCCCTTCTTTTTGGTTGCATGGGATGCAAAGGTTTCCCCCAGTTCTGTTAGGGGGATATCAATTTTCCTAGCAACCTATTATTGCTGACCATTGCCTGAAAGTGGTCGTGCCCATGGAATCAGCACGGCTCATCCTGTAAGGAGGGGAAGAACTGTGAAGAAAATCTAGGAAAAACTACAGATTACAACTCATTGCCTGTTTTCTGACCTGGCCTTGAGGAAGGGGGAAATTCAGAGCTTACAAGGGGCGTCATAATATAAAAGCTGGGTAAACTCAGTTGGTAGAGCACGAGACTCTTAATCTCAGGGTTGTGGGTTAGAGGCCCATGTTAGGCAAAAGATTCCTGCATTTCAGGGGGTTGGACTAGATGACCCTCATGGTCCCTCCCAAATCTATATTGCACACATGTGCATGCGCACACACACACACGTTAGGTGTTTCTGCCCTGCCTTTCAAACAGATTCCCAGGACAGCTTCCAAGAAAATTGGCAAAACTAGCAAAAATACACAGAGACAATATACTAAACACAGCAAAATCTGCAATATCCCTGCTCTAGGATGGCCAAAACATAAAAACGGCCATACCAGGATTGTTGGTGCTATAAAGAGAGTTTTGTTGCAGTCGGATGACTGAGGTGGGGACAGTGGGAGAAGAGCAGATTTGATGCTTAGAATTGGGGTAAGATTAAATGATTAACCTCCCAGGGACACACATCTTTGGGGATTTTTATTTACAGTATTCCACTCATATCCCACCTTTCCTTCCAAGGCGCTCAAGGGGCAGAAATGGCTCTCCCCCTCATTTAACCCTCACAACAACCCTGTGAGGTAGGCTGGAGGCAGTGGCTGGCATCCAAGGTCACTCAGTGAGCGTCATGGCCTAGTGGCGATTTGAATCTGGGTCTCCCAGGTCCAAGTCCCGACCCCCTCAGCGTGACACTGGTTGGAGGGGGAAGGAAGGTAGCTGTAATAAATGGAGGACCGCCAGCTGCTGAGTCACAGTGAGGGCACATCTGCTTGAAGGAAGAAAGGGAGGGAGGGAGGGAGGGCCTGGCGCACAGTGCAGAGCTGAGAGATGCTCCGGTTTCCCATAAGAGTCTCTTCTACTTCAGCCCCCACCTCTGGCTCCAATCCTGTAACTATCACCCCCTTCCCCTTACAGTTATAATTCTTACCCATCTTTTCTCGATCTTCATATTTTCAATCTTCATGCAGTAGTAGAGCAAGTAAGACACCTCAGAATTGCACCATTAGATTAAGAGGGAGAACCGGGGAAGTGTGTGGGTTTGGGTTTTTACAGAATGAATGACTCACTTGCACCATGCGCACCCGAGATCTGAAAATGCAGAAACCACAGGCGTCTGTTCTTGCGCTCATGCTTAAGGTCCTGCTGCCATCTGGTGGCAGTGCAGAAGATGGCTGCCTCCTGTCCACTGACCCTGCTGCCCTCTTTCCTCATGTTGACCGGAACCATTTGCACCTGAACACTTTTTCAAATATGTGAAAGGGTGGGTGGGTGGGTTTCTTGTGGCTTTAGTAGTTGTGAGTGCAGAAGATGGAATTTCAGCAGACACAGCTATTACCTCCTTTCAGGTCTGACTTTATCAGCCAAAAGCCTCTTCTCTTTACAGGAGCTGTGCATGTATCAGAATGTAGATTTGTATGACTCTATTAATTAAATGTCTGTTTAATTCAGTGGATTGAAAGATAAGGTCCAATATTATGTGATAAAATATACCTGTTTAAAGCTATAAGCCAATGTACTCTTACCTTTGAGAAGCATTTGAGAACTGCTTGCTTGAGATTTGCCATGCCTCAAAAGGAGGCAGTGTCTTCACTCCCCATTTCTTAACTTTTCTAGAATAGTTTTCACTCTTTCTACCTCCAGGGGACATTTTACATGTTGAATTACCTGCAACAGATAAATATTATTATTTTTTTTTAAAAAAGAATTACCTGCAACAGATTTCCTGTACATTGCAGACATTAGAATGCACACTCCGTATTGGCCTGACCTATGGCAAGGAGCACGGGGCTTTCAGGAAAGCTTGTCTGCCATTGTGTATGTTCTTGCGGAGTAATTCCTGATTTAAACTTCCAGTAAAGCAAAGGTTCCTTCCTTCCTTACTGTTGGAAAACTACTGCCCTGGAACCGTAAAAGTATTTCTCCTGTCTTGAACCAGATTCACTTAAACATTCTTAGAAAAGTATTTAACTTTTATACCACTCTATATATCAAGAAGCTTTTGATTTCTGTTCTCACCTCATTCCTTTAGTACAATTCCAAAGTTTTCTTAACACAATATCCCTGGTATGTGGTTGTAACTCAATACCTATGGAGTGTTTTTTTCTTCTCTCACAGGTTATCAAAGAATTTTTTAATGAATCATGGATAGAGCGGTCAGGCGCCCCGATGTCCGAACCACTGCTAACCTCACTATGGGCACTCTCTGTGTCAATTTTCTCAGTAGGAGGAATGCTTGGCTCTTTCTCTGTTGGACTTTTCGTCAACCGATTTGGCAGGTACGTTGGGGGAATATTCTGGACTACGGAGCAGTTTCCGCCTCCATTTTGAAGAACAAGAAGGGATAAGAGGAAATTAGCTCCATTACAGAATGGACAGAGAATTCAATTCCATAATGATCATTGTGTCACACTTTGGGGGAATGTCTAGTATGGAAGTACTAAGAAGGCAACTTGCCCTACCAGAAAGCATATTTTGGGCAGCATATTTTGGGTGCCATTAAGGACAACAAATTGCACAGGCAGAGGGGAACAATGGAGCCCAATCCACCAGGAAGAGCTTCTGCACAGGCCCCCTCGAAACGAGTCTGCTTTGTTCTCCAGTGTGGTTTCTTTGCACATGAGAATGTCCCAGTGATGGATTATGACCCATATTAATTAGGGGTGCATGGTGCCACTTGGATTTTCTGTTTGAATAAGTAACACCACTTTGGGCATATTTATATGGAAAAGCGGTATATAAATTGAAATAATGATACGATTTTTCCCCTCCTGTGCAGGCGAAACTCTATGTTGCTGGTGAATATTTTGCCCATTTCAGGAGGCATTTTGATGGGCTTCTCCCGAATGGCAAACGCTTTGGAAATGTTTATTGCTGGCCGGCTTGTTGTTGGTATCTACTGCGGCCTCTGCACTGGCTTTGTGCCCATGTATATCAGTGAGGTCTCCCCCACTGCCTTGCGAGGAGCTTTTGGCACACTGAATCAGCTGGGTATTGTCGTGGGTATCCTGGTGGCACAGGTAAGGATGATTACAAAGCCACGCAGCTAAGTGGTTCATTGGTATTGCTGGAAGGGAGTTAATGACCAGGTCCCAACTCTGTGCACCTGGGAGTAATCCCTGTTGAGGACCATGGACTTAATTCTAAATTAAACATGCATAAGATGGGTTCAGTTGGCTACTTGGAAAATAGTTTATGGCTAGTTGATAAGGCTGCTGGCAGGGACTGTCTTGTTTTGTTATTGACCTCATGTAAGTTACTCTGGGGGGACTCGGGTGGTGCTGTGGTCTAAACCACAGAGCCTAGGGCTTGCCGATCGGAAGGTCTGTGGTTTGAACCCCCTTGACGGGGTGAGTTCCCATTGCTCAGTCCCTGCTGCTGCCCACCTAGTAGTTCGAAAGCACATAAAAGTGCAAGTAGATAAATAGGCGGGAAGGTAAACAGTGTTTTTGTGCGCTGCTCTGGTTTTGCCCTGTGGTCATGCTGGCCACATGACCCAGAAAAACTGTCTGCAGACAAATGTCCGCTCCCTCGGCCAGTAAAGCGAGGTGAGTGTCACAACCCCAGAGCCGTTCACGACTGGACTTAACTGTCAGGGGTCCTTTACTTTTTAAAAGTTACTCTGGGAGCTTTTTTCAGATTAAAGCTGAATGTGCTTAAAGTAAATGAATGAGGATTCATTCAGGAAAGGAGATGCTACATTACAAAGAATCATTCCTTCCTATCATTGAACCTGGGTGGAGTTCTGTAGAGGTGGGCTAGGGATCATCAACAAACTACCATTCCTCGTGGGAAGAATCCATGCTTCTTTATGGGAAGCCATAGATTGTTATAAACGTCTAGTTATGCTGCACGTAACTTTCAGTTTCTGGGAATATAGCTCATAAGCGTTTTGTCTTGTCTTTCTCTCCACCAACGTCTACAATCAGGTCTTTGGCCTAGATGTCATCCTGGGAACTAAAACTCTCTGGCCATTGCTGGTCGGACTCACTGTTGTCCCAGCCGTCTTGCAGTGTGTAGCACTGCCCTTCTGTCCTGAGAGCCCACGATTCCTGCTGATCAACAGGATGGAGGAAGAGAAAGCGCATGCAGGTAACCACCGAGTAATGAAGTGATCCAATCCCTTGGCTTGCAGCAGCGTAGCCTCTTCATTATCCTTATGGGTAGCTCACAGGACAGTCTACTCCCTTCCAGAAGCTATAAGGGGAACTGCAACTACCACACACTACCATCACCTTTCTTGTGTACGTCCCATGATGTTCTGTCCGCACTATTGGCCATGCATAGCTATGAAGTATAGAAGAAGGTACTGCCCACTTGAGCAGCCATTTTTTAAAAATGGCATTTTATTGATTAAATGCTGGTTACTGAGGCAGCATGATTTTAAAACTGATTTTCAAAATGAGCACTGATGCTTTTTCATCTGAGCGCTACTGCATAAATAATTGTAATTTTTAAAAGAATTAGCCAAAAAGATTAGTAAAACATTAAAATGGGAGCCACTGGAAAGATAATAGGTTCACCTGCCAAACTGTCACTACCCACATCAAAACCACACCTCTAGAAGGTAGCATCGAGAACCGCCAACACCTGCCGTGATTGCTGTATTGTTAGATTCTTTTCTCTAATTATCATATTTTCTGAGAAAAATCTGATTGAGAAAACAGTACAACGAAAACATAGAAGCATGGAAATCCTGGCTGGCCCTTTCAATTCCTCTTTGTCTTGTCTTCTCCAAAACTTGAACTGGACTCAGTCAAGTTGTTTTGTGGGTTGTGTGAATGGTTTCTGTTTCACAGAGGGACATAAGAAACCCAGAATATTCCTGGGTCTTGCCATAAGGTTTGCTTCTGTGCCAGTACCTGCCTGCAATGGGAAAATGCAGAAACATGAGTAGAAAGGGGAAAGTCTGAGTGTTACCCATAGGATTTTTTTGGGAATTCCTTCCTGGATCTGTGAGGGTATCAACTTGCCTCAACTATGAATGGAAGCATCTCCAGGTGTGGGAGATCTCAGCCTAATTACAGTCGTTGACATATTATAGCAGGCATGGCCAAACTTTGCTCTCCAGCTGCTTTGGGACTCCCATCATCCCTAGCTAATGTGACCAGTGGTCAGGGATGATGGGAATTGTAGTCCCAAAACAACTGGAGGGCCAAGTTTGGCCATGCCTGTGTTATATCTCTCTCTCTCAATGTACATGAGAGAACAATGCCATAAGCAAGAGAAACTGTCCCCTACTGAGAATTTGAATTTAGCCAATGGGGAAAGCAGCAAGGAAAAGTGGAGAGAGAATCAAGAGGCAGCAAGAGATCTGTATTTGTGAGCAAATACAGTTAAAAATACTTTGATTTTGTTAAAGTTGGTGATGAGGATTAATGGGTTAGACCAAAGGCCAGTTGACCTCATGAGTTGAGCAGAAGAATAGACTAGGCAGCTGGCTTCATCGTCACGAAGAAGTGAACTCTCAGGGTAGGAGGACATTATCACTGTCGCGTTGTGCATAATTCTAATGTTTGATTCCTCCTGCCAGTTCTCCAGAAGCTCCGTGGCACCCAAGATGTGTCGAGTGATATTCAGGAGATGAAAGAAGAGAGCGCCAAGATGTCTCAAGAGAAGAAAGTGACCATTTCTGAGCTCTTCCGTTCCCCCAGCTACCGCCAGGCCATCATCATTGCCATTGTGCTTCAGCTCTCCCAGCAGCTGTCCGGCATCAATGCAGTATGTTGCTTTCTTCTGAGCGCATTCCCTGAGCACTTTTCTCTTGCAGCCAAATACTTTTGCCATGCAGAAGGAGGCGGCCATGTTCTAAATTGCTGGCTGTGTGGATGGGCCAGTTCCTGTTGGAGCTCATCTTTGAAGCAGAGAATAGTGATTATGGGCTTGTAGGAGAACCTTAGTCACAGTAACTGAGGCCCCAGTCCCTGGATATAAAAGTAGGAACAGCTGCAATCCACATGAAAGGACTGTTATGAGGCTTAAAGATAGCAGGGGATTTTGTTACCTGCCCTCAATCTTAGCAACAGTTAAGCAATGCAGTGGTCAATCCTGCGCACACTTACGTGGTCAGAATTCCCATTATACTCTGTGAGATTTGCTTCTGAGTCAATAGGCACCAGGCAAAAACGTTCCTTTATAACCAGGCCTTTGGTTGACATCCTATGCCCTTTTAAAATGTGGCTGTTTCTTTGGGGAGGGGTGTTATTGGGTTGTTGTTATACTTTGATTATATAGTGGTTTTTATGTTGACCTTTTCTGTGAACCACCCTGAGACCTCTGGGTATAGGGTGGCATATAAAATGAATAAATAATAATGAATAATAATAAGATAGACGTTGAATTTCCCTGCTTAGCATTAAGAACAAGGTGAGCTCCAGACACCAGCAGTGACAAATATTTATCTGCCTGTAGGTCTTTTACTATTCTACTGAGGTTTTTGAAGATGCTGGAGTGAAACAGGCGGTGTACGCTACCATTGGTGCCGGTGTGGTCAACACCATCTTTACAGTTGTATCGGTAAGTAGTCTTTGGCAACATGGCATTCATGTACTTTATAGCTGAGTCAAAGTCTCCCCTCTCCTTCCCTTTATATTTATCTTTATATCTAGAACAATAGGGAGGGAGGTAAATATATGGCTAGAATTCAGGGTGGGTACTCAGTCCTGTGACCCTGTGCTTAATTGTTCTCCCCACTGGGCAACATTTTCTTTTCGAAACAGGGAGCGTTGCTTCCTTCTCCTTCCTTCTTTCCCGATTGTGTTGCCCTGAAGCCAGATCTGCCTGTGGGCAGGAGGCAGTTTCCTCGTTTGTCCCTGTCACGAGAGAGGATGGAATGCTGCTGCTGCTACATGGGGAATAACAGGGTCGCCCCTGTTTGCGTTCCTCCCCACCCCCACAAGCACGGAAATGTTTCCCAGCTATAGAACAGCAAACTCGGAGGTGGCGTTTCTTGTCTAACCAAAGTGACTTCAGATATTATAGCAGTACTACTTGAGCTATGAGTTTTAATTCAGTTCGTCAGTTGGCCTTTGTTCTCATGGGTTATCAGAGTAGAAAATGAAAAGGGTAGTTGTTTTTTATATATTTGAATGGTCTATCTTTATATATATTAAAAATGACTGGTAGTCTTTGCTTATTAAAGTGTTAGGGTACTGTTTCAGGGTTGGGGGATGGAGAAGAGATTTCAGTTAAGTTGGGATGCAAATTCACAGGACACTTCACCAGCCTGATGGTTGTTATGATCATCATTCAGTTACAAAAGGTAGTAGGTCCAGTCACAGACAACTCTGGGGTTGTGCGCTCATCTCGCTCTGTAGGCCGAGGAAGCTGGCGTTTGTCTGCAGACAGCTTCCAGGTCATGTGGCCAGCATGACTAAGCCACTTCTGGTGAACCAGAGCAGCACACTGAAATGGTGTTTACCTTCCCGCCAGAGCGGTACCTATTTATCTACTTGCACTTTGAGTGCTTTTGAACTGCTAGGTGGGCAGGAGCAGGGACCGAGCAACGGGAGCTCCCCCCATCGCGGGGATTCGAACCGCTGACCTTCTGATTGGCAAGCCCAAGGCTCTGTAGTTTAGACAAACTCTGAAGAGGAGGCAGTGCTTAAGTTTGGAGAGAGCGCTTGCCACCAAAAGCAACATTTTATTTTTCTTCCCGTTTCCCAGCTCTTCCTTGTGGAGCGCGCAGGCCGCAGAACACTCCACTTGATTGGCTTAGGAGGCATGGCCATCTGCGCCGTCGTCATGACTATTTCCTTGGCCTTGAAGGTAAGCCGTCACCATCCCCACTTCCTGGTGCGTCCGCAGTGTCTTTGGGGTCAAAACGGATCAGGCATACATGCAAGTGTAATGAAAAGACAGGAAATGGCTTGCAGGTTGGAATCATTATAATAGTATTGCAGCTGATTTCTCACAGGCCAGGATGTACCCTAGTCCACTAGCAAGCAAGACAGCCACAACCAGATCACCCTTATTTTGGAGGTCATGGTTCCCCCCTCCCCATGTTGTCCTCACAACAACCCAGAGGCTGAGAGGCAGTGACTGGCCCAAGGTCACCCAGTGAGCTTCATGGCTGAGTGGGGGTTCAATCCCAGGTCCTACTCCAACCCTCTAACCATTGCTGGTTCTCATAGGTGTGCTTATTTGCTTCAGGCTATTGCTTCTCACAGGCTTGGCTCAAAGGTTTTTTGCAGGGAAAAAATGCAGGTAGCTTGCACCTGGATTCAGATCTAGTCTTGAGTCGGGAAATCTGGCGGCTGGGTTTTTCTTTCTTAGCTTCAGGCCCCTTTCTGCAAAATATAAATGAAAATGAAGCAGATACAGATTCAGACTCTAAAATACTTTGCAAGACACAGGCATGTTTGCACTCTTCTGTCTCAAAATTGCTAACTGCTGTTAATTCTCTTTCTCTTTGTAACAGGGCATTGTATCCTGGATTGGCTACGTCAGCGTTGTTGCCACGTTAGCCTTTGTGGCTCTCTTCGAAATTGGCCCTGGCCCAATCCCCTGGTTCATTGTGTCTGAACTGTTCAGCCAGGGGCCTCGTCCCGCAGCTGTGGCTGTAGCTGGCCTTTCCAACTGGACGTCCAATTTTCTAGTGGGCATGCTGTTTCCGATCCTCAAGGTAAGAGAGTTGCTTTGAGCAATGTATCACGAGCTGTGTATTGGGTAGTTAACAGCATAGCCAAATCACAATGTCAGGCTCCTGTCCCAAGGAGTTCTCAGTCTAAAATCGAATAGAATGAGAAAGGTCAGAGGGCAAGCAAGGGCACTGAGAGGTGAAAATGAGCAAACAAGAGTTTGTCACACTTGAGAATAGTGGTTCGGAGGAGCTTTAGTGAGTGGTTTGCTGGTGTGATAACATTTGGGAAAGTGTTTTCTTTGCAACTTGCAAGGATTAAAATAGGCTTGCATTGGCATGATACACGTCCGTCCGGTTGTGCAGGAGCCCCACGCAGAGCCTGGAATTTGGCCTATGCATACTGCATGAATGGGAATGAGAGGGAGAGAGGAGAAAGAGGTTTCTGGATGCCCTGACCTGTCATCCCTTCTCCTATTGGTTGCTCAGTTAGCAGCCACACACACAGGTCAACTTGGGCCAAAGCTCTTTGCTTTTCTTGTGAACCCTCAAGTGGCCAAGTCCTCCTGGTCTGAAAAATGCCGCAATGGGAAGGCTTCCTGCCACAGGGCATGTAACAGCCGCAGAACTCAGGGCATGATGTAGGAGAGCTAGTGAGAAGCATGTGCTACACGCAGAGGACTCTGATGATGGACCCCATAGCTATGTTTTTCATTTCAGGCCTGTGACCTTACTGAGGTATAACTCTTTCTCTTTTCTCCCTCGCAGAATGTCCTCAAACATTATGTTTTCCTCATCTTTGTTGGTTTCCTCATCTTCTTCTTCATCTTCACCTTCTTTAAAGTCCCTGAGACAAAAGGCCGGACTTTTGAAGAGATCTCCAGTGGCTTTGAAAGGAGAAGAGAGGATGGTATTTTTCCAGCAACCATGGAAAAGGGGCCAATGGTGGAACTGACTAGCATACAGCCCACTAAAGATGTTGCACCAAATATTTAACAATGTTCTGTTCTTGACACTTTCTCGGTTCTGAGGATAATCCTCACAGGGGGGAAGCAGAGATACTTTTTTAATTGCTGCTATTTCTTCATTTCCCCGTCAGCCTTTCCTTGTGTGCCAAGACTCTTGCCACATGCTAAAACAAGTTAAATGCAGGGAAACTTGCCTTGCTTACAGTGCGGGAAGGCAATACGGCTTTATCATTCTCCCTACATTGCTCCTTTCCCTGTCACTCATTCATAGAGACCTAAGAAATGGCTCCCTCCCCCGCCTCTATTTAATACATTCTCCTTGCATCATTACATGGGGCTAACCCTGTATAAGGGGGTTCTGGTCATTTACAGCCTTGAAGTAAATTATTTTCCTGTAAGTGAACTGATGGCTTCTCCTATGGTCCTTCTCTTGCCAGAGTGTTTTCTACAGTGTGGATGTGGGGAATGGCTGCCCAGAATTATTTAAATCATGGGTGTGCATGGGAAAGAGCTATTTATTTCATCAAATGGGAGTTTGCTTCATCTTCGGGAAATAGGGATAAAGAGAAAAGTCCCGCCCCCTTTTGTACTATTCGAGAAAAATTGTTTACTAGAGTTTATTTATTCCTGTGTCATTTTGCTTGTAAATATTTATTTTTATGTAGAATAGAAGGAAGTGTGGACTGGGAATCACTATGACTGTCAAAGCATTTTGGTGGTAGGCAGTGAAATACCAAAGAGGAAAAGGTCACTCTGTAGGTGGTGTACGGTCCTGCGGAGATTGTGCTTATCACTTTTTAAGGGTCTACTGTGCTGTTAGGAAAACTGAGCCGTGGAGAGAACAAGCCTGTAGTTCTATGGACGCTTCTGTGCTTACCAGACTATTTGGTGAATGTGTTGAATACCTGTCGTTAAGTATTACTTGAACATTGTAATGCTAAAGTAAAGAAGGCATTGCAACTTGATGGATTCAGTCATCCCATTTCCAGCTTATAGGCTGGAGGCCATTTCTTGTAGTGATTTTTTAAGACATGAATGAATGTCCTGTGGCTGCTAATGTGTGAACGTATTATTCAGGAAGGGGGACATAAATGTCTTATTTCGAGACCCATCCAGTCTTTATGGACATCAGTATTTGTAGGGTCTCCTAATTTGCATTTGCAATATGAGAACTGAACCTTTCTGTGAGGGCATCCACCTCACACTCTGCACTAGTGAGAAGTGAAAAACCATCTCTGGAGGCCTCTCTGTAGGTTCCCCTCCATTCCTCTTCTTTTCGAAGTAGACACAATTCTGTATCACATTTTCAAGCATATTAGGGTCCTGGAATTCACAGTGTCTCTTAAAGGCATTGTGAAGTAGTAGGATGACATTGACCTACTGTGTCTTGTGGCAGTCATGATAGTTTAGTGGTTTGTTCTCTCTCTCTCCGTCTCTCTTTTTAAAAAGAGTAACACAACAGATGGTATTTATGAAATTGAAACGAAACTAGTTTTCCAAAATGTATTTTTGTAATTAATTATTTTATTATTAAATGAAGTATGTGGCAATTTATTGACAAGAAATAGCTTTGGGCTGCAGACGATAGAATGTAGGAATAGAGACTAAAGCTACTAAAACTGGATACTAAAAAGTTGTAACCCCATTTATCTGAAGAGCCTGAGATCTCAAATATTTGTTAGCCAGAACCAGGGCTTATTTTACTTGAGATTTCGCTAACTCTCGTCTTGCGGGGAATGTTCTGTTACAGGTACAGATATATGACGTAGTGCAATATGCTAGCATTATGTTTGTTTTAATTCATTCCGCTTGAAGAGGAAGCCAGTATGTATTCATGATCTCTTCCCTGTTCATGCTCATTAACCCAGTGGGACAATGTCCATACTCAGTGACTGCATGGGAAGATGTCTACCCTATAATCTTAAACCAGTAGTAAAATAATACTGTCTCCCTCACCTCTCCAGGGGAACCCTGGGAACTATTGCTTTGTGACATCATCCCTAGTATGATGTGGTCTTCCTTGGGGCATTGAACTTTGGGAGGTTTTGAAGGAAGTGAGTGTCTACTGTCTTGGGAGTACCTGTTACATTCTTAGCTTGGAAGAGCCTCACTTCCAGAACAACTGAAAAGAGATTGTCATAAACACTGGAAATTGTTACCATCCGTTTATATTGATTATTGCGAATTATCTTCATGTTGCTTCTTTTTGCTGCTCAGCCTGTTACATAAAACTCTTGAGGGTAATGAGATGGTGGTTGCAGTAGGATGCCTGCAATCACCCTGAAGCAAGAGAGGGACTGGCAGTCCCCAAACTTTCCCTCATGGCTTGAAATATTTGGCATCCAGTAAAGGCATGAATAGCCTGTTTTGACACAATCTCCTTGGGCTTCCAAGATGGATGGAAGCCTCTTTTTGTGCAGCAGAAGAGGAGAGGCAGCTTCAAGTGTCAAGCATTGTGGTTACACTCTTTTAAAAATCCATAATTTCTTTACCCAAATATCTATCCCCTCACATCCACTCCCCATTTTTGAATCCTGCTTTCTCTTTTTTTGAGTTCACACTTCTTTTTATTTTTTGACCTTCAGTCCCGTCCCCCCCAGCATCTCTTCCAAATGGGGTGGCAAAAGCATTCCTGACCTTGCATTCCACACTTCGTGCAATGCCTTGGGTTGAAATTGTGTAACTCACTTGTTCCTTTTTGTTTTCTGTACTGTGAATATTTCCAGTGGGTTTTATAATTTTTGTTATTGTGAATGTGTTGGATGTTTTTAAAATAAAAGGTTTCGGTGGAAATACTGCATACCTGTGTGTATAATTTCTAGCTTTGTACCGTATTTTTCGCTCCTTAACACGCACCAGACTATAACACGCACGTAGTTTTTAGAGGAGGAAAACAAGAAAAAAATATTCTAAACGAAATAGTGGATATATGATTTTTGTGGTTCATGCTGTGGCCACAGACATGTGATCTGACAGTGAGTTTGGAGTAGCCCAATGCAAAAATCCTGAGGATCCATGTGGATCCATGCTTTGTAACCACGGAGGAGGGAAGGAAGGGGAACCATGGATCCTCTGCTCACAACTGCAGCAGATCCCCCCCCGCCACCCGCAGGCATTCGCTCCATAACACGCACAGACATTTCCCCTTACTTTCTAGGAGGAAAAAAGTGAGTGTTATGGTGCAAAAAATACGGTAATTTCTCCCCATGAGGCAACAAACAGCAATGTAGTTCTACTAACATTTAACCTTTTCATGCAGATTCAAACCCTGCAGATCATTCCTGGACTTCCCATGCAGCAACGTGCAAAATCACTTAGACCCTGCAGATCTTCCACTCCACATCAAAGCTCTTCCTTTGCACTGATCATTTCTGCAGACCTTCCTTGCCCCCCTACTGCATTTCCTTCCTGCTGTCCCTGGCAGCTTATACAGACCTCTACATTTCTACAAGCAGGATAGGAACACCCTCCTTTCCCCGCCTCTGACTGGGTCTCTGCATCATCAAGCATGGACTCAAGGGCATCCTGATCAAATTTGCAAATGACACCAAACTGGGAGGGGTGGCTAACACCCCAGAGGACAGGATCACACTTCAAAACGACCTTGACAGATTGGAGAACTGGGCCAAAACAAACAAGATGAATTTTAACAGGGAGAAATGTAAAGTATTGCACTTGGGAAAAAAAATGAGAGGCACAAATACAAGATGGGTGACACCTGGCTTGAGAGCAGTACATGTGAAAAGGATCTAGGAGTCTTGGTTGACCACAAACTTGACATGAGCCAACAGTGTGACGCGGCAGCTAAAAAGCCAATGCAATTCTGGGCTGCATCAATAGGAGTATAGCATCTAGATCAAGGGAAGTAATAGTGCCACTGTATTCTGCTCTGGTCAGACCTCACTTGGAGTACTGTGTCCAGTTCTGGGCACCACAGTTCATGAAGGACACTGACAAACTGGAACGTGTCCAGAGGAGGGCAACCAAAATGGTCAAAGGCCTGGAAACGATGCCTTATGAGGAACGGCTAAGGGAGCTGGGCATGTTTAGTCTGGAGAAGAGGAGGTTAAGGGGTGATATGATAGCCATGTTCAAATATATAAAAGGATGTCACATAGAGGAGGCAGAAAGGTTGTTTTCTGCTGCTCCAGAGAAGCGGACACGGAGCAATGGATCCAAACTACAAGAAAGAAGATTCCACCTAAACATTAGGAAGAACTTCCTGACAGTAGAGCTGTTCGACAGTGGAATTTGCTGCCAAGGAGTGTGGTGGAGTCTCCTCCTTTGGAGGTCTTTAAGCAGAGGCTTGACAACCATATGTCAGGAGTGCTCTGATGGTGTTTCCTGCTTGGCAGGGGGTTGGACTCGATGGCCCTTGTGGTCTCTTCCAACTCTATGATTCTATGATTCTCAGCCTGCTTGTGTGGCCCTCAGCAGAGCAAAGCCAATGTTGGTGTCCTGGCTAGCATGATAGAGGCATGTTGCTCACTGGAAAGTCTTGGGCCAGTCACCATGACTCCAACCTGCGCAGGGTTCCTGTGAGGATGTAGACGGCCTTGCTGAATTCCTTGGAGGCAAGGCTGAGATAAATGTTACCTATTCAATGTGTGTTTGTAGTGATAGAAAGCAAGAGCTTAGATATGTTTTGGGACGCCACTTGACAAGAGAGAGGATTCCACAAATTTCCCCCCTGTGGTGTATAAAATGAATATAAAGAAATTAAACTACCAAACTACTGGTAACAATCATCTCCATCCAGGTCAGAAACCATATATGTACAGTACATGTAGGAGAGGATCTGGAAAGGGAATGTATTTCTTACTATGCTGTTTGCCCATCTGACCGCTTGCAGATGCCTAAGCTCCCAACTATTGTAAGTTTAAAAAGCAAAACAGCAGCCATTTCATGTAGAGTTATTTTTCTCTCTGAGATGAGCAAACTTCTATCAAGTTTTTTCAATTAGTGGCTTGAATATTAATAGGTATGGTCCAGAAGTAATCTGTAGCAGAATGAGGGCAATTCACTGTTAAAACAAAATACAAATGGCATGCTAACAAAGGGGGGCTAAAACTCCCATTGTAAACATAGTAAAAAAACCTGATGACCCATAGGATTACAGTTACATACGCTTCAGGTTACATGCACCTCAGGTTACAGACTCCGCTAACCCAGAAATAGTACCTTGGGTTAAGAACTTTGCTTCAGGATGAGAACAGAAATTGTGCTCCAGCGGCGCAGTGGTAGCAGGAGGCCCCATTAGCTAAAGTGGTGCTTCAGGTTAATAACAGTTTCAGGTTAAAAACGGACCTCCAGAACGAATTAAGTACTTAACCCGAGGTACCACTGTAGTTGATTTATTAGAAAATCATATTAGGCCAAAACCTTTATGAAGCCAACGAAAATGTCACAAAATATTGTGCAAGCTTCCAACGTCTCCAAAACGCTTCATTCGGTTAGGCCAGAGGTGAGTCCATGGCTCCCTTGACCAACTATCCTTTCTCAAGGCACCCCAGGGTGCCACGGCACACTGGTTGAAAACCACTGGGTTGGGCAGTAAGCAAAGCTGGAGGTGAGGAATTTGCTGGTAGGTATAGCCAGATATGACTGCATCTGGTGAGAATCTCAAGACAGAGAAGAGGAAGCTGACTAACCCAGGATATCATGGCAGAAGTTTCTTTGCACAGGTGCATGCAAACACAGACAAATGGTTCCATATTATTGATAGATTTTTTTTTAATGACGCCACATGTGAACTGAATTTTCTATTTACTTCTCTCTATAGCAGCACCTCCTTAAGAGAGGTGAACAGTGGAGTAACAAACCATATAACATGTGAGTTACAAAACAATATTTTTAATATGGACAACCACTGTGTGCATAGAATCAATATTAGTTACACATTCTTTGTATGTGAAATGTAGAAAAAATAGAAATACAGTCAGAATTGCACAGCCTTATGACACACAAGAATTTACGCATTTTTGTGATGTGAAAGTTGAATTACTACATGATCTCCAGCTGGGTAAACCCAAAGTAGTTAGAACTTTGTCCCACTGAAATAAATGGTTCAGGCATTTTAAATCAAGTACTTCATCTAAAATAGGTTGCATGTTGAACTGTCTGAATGGTACTCTGAACACATGTACATCACAATCTATCTTTACTAAAATAAAAGATGGATAGCTATTTTTCATTTGCTACTTTACATGTGGAACAGCAGATTGTATTTAAGTGAGAGAATGAGACTTAAAGTGCTTTATTATAGGTTTGCTTTTATTCCTAAAAAGATGTCACACACAAACATTGGCAAGAGTGACTTTCTGACATGCTTTTCTTTGGCCTTTATCACATTTGCTTCAAAGTAGCACATTTTTTACCCTCTTGGGGAAGATTTTTTTCATCAGCATATTTTGATTTTGTACAGGTTTTGCTCACTAGTGCAAAATGTAGAAACAAAACAGTAGCCGATTTTTTTGTCAAAACTACACATTTCCTTCTTATTTAAAATTACCTTTTTTTGCAACAGGCAACAGCTAAAGCAATCATTAATTTAAAGCAAGGCTTGTTATATACTTTTGAAGACCCAGTAGCTACTGAGATATTTCTTTGGGTCATGCAAATGCCATGTTTTCTCTCTCTCCAATTTTCTGTCCCTACCCCTAACACAATGAAGCTAGACAAAGGGTCAACAGCAGGCGCAGATGATAAGCTGTGGCAAGAGTGCAGTTTGTTTTCATTAAGCACATTTCAGTTTGTCTACGGGAGGCTAGAAAAGCAGAGCTTTTTTCTTTAGCTCATTTCTTTTCCAAAGTGCAAGTCGTTCAAATTGTTCAATGCTCATTTCGAAGACTTCCTGGAACTGTTCAGGGGACAGGTGACGCTTGAAGAAGAAAAGAAAGAAAAAAGCAGTAAAAAAATCCTTACTTTTATGCATGTATTGTGCTAGAAATAAAAATGTGAAGTTTTGAATCAAATTCACAACATAGTTCGGAAACCATGTGCCCCAAAATCATACATTAAAATGTCAAAGAAAATACTTCTCTATTAAATTTGTATTGCATCTTTCTGCCCGCAGCACTCAAAGCAACCAACAATCAGAATGAAAATACAGTAAGCCATAAAAAGACAAAGCAAGTAAACAGAAGGACAGGTAGATACCAATCAGGATCAGAAAATAAAATAATAAAACACCAAGTGTGGAGGCTCAAAGCCTGTCCATGGCCTCCATTCCCCCATGGTATTTGGAAAAGGAAAATACTTACCAAGTGTTCCTGTTCCGCATGACTTATGGAGGATGTTCTAGACCCCTTAGGAGTAGACCCCTTCCCTTAATCCAGAGGCAGGGACAACTTTGGTTGCTCCAGAAGGGGAGGAACCTCTTTCCCTAACCCAACCAGAAGAGTCCTTCAACTCTGGATCTAGCAATCACTAACTTGCTACTTTCTGTGCCACTCACCTTCCAAATGCCACATCTGCTCAGGAAATTCCAACACATACAATTTAAAAATAAATAAATAAGTAAATGCATTCCTTACCTCCAGCCTAGTTCTGTCTACATCCTTTGGTAGCTTCACTCGAACTCTGTTTGTTACAATAAGTGTTTCATATGGATAGACCTAATGCAAAGAGAAAGTGTGACACTAGAAAGATGCATCCCTTGTGGAAATTTTTAAAAATGCAAATGGAAAATATTTGTATCTATATTTGATGTATTTGATTTTAAAAGGACCATAGGAGAAAAAAGGAATATACTGAACCTTGTTAAGAAGGGCTGATTCTCAACATTCTCTAAGTGTTGTC